GTCACCATGTGCACAATTTCCAATGTACATTTTTCAAGCACGTATACCAGAGAAGTACTACCACTGTATATACCACGTATGGCATGATGTCATCCGAAGAGAGTGGAGGAAGAGCATCGCATTGCTGTGTAACTTCGTCAGTTACATTTTTCAAGGAGGCGCACATTAAATAGTATGGCTGGAGCAACGCCATCACCTGCGCATGCCAATAATCTAGGCCACTGTGCTTTTTTTCACTTGGAAACAGAGCAATTGTGTGACCTAAAGTCTCTTTCATTTGCAAGCATAAGTAATTGCCTTTCATTACTTGGTAATGTGCCAAAATATGTGAAGACATAAGAATTAAGCTATTGAGCTGACAACTGACCTCAAAGGAAAAGCCACTCTGCGCACAAAGTAATTATACATAGTGCGCATACGGCATGTGTAGCTACTACTCCCAAGTCTATTATTACCGAAGCTGCATCTTGCATGAAAATGAGTTCACTATAACTGAAATTTTGTTATACAGCTATATTATTAACACCATACTTATTACAAGACTATTCTTAATTTCTTCATTATAATCAATATTTTGTTATATCTGGGTGCGTTATATCGAGGTTTGTGTGTACGTGGTTCCAAGCTAACCAGACCTCATGCACACTCCACCTCTTCATAGTGAACAGTCAGGAAGTATGGTTGACGCATTGTCTACTGCAAAGCATAGAGCATGCATACAACAGCACTAAAGAGCCGCACTGCTGAACAAATAACGGAAGAGACTTATTGTCATAATGCTGGGGATGATCAGACATAGTGCTGCATTTGTTAGCGGCCGCCATTGCACTTTTTTACTTTCTCCAGCACTTATCAGTTCAAGCATAAGCTCGCTCACCAAAGTTAGAATTGGTCAACTAGTATCCGCCCATTCCGAAAAGTCAAGACACTTTGTGTGGCCGCACCAAATATTAAGAAGTGCAGTGAACTGTTGTGTGACAGAAAGTGTTCAAAGTGTCTGCTACTCATTACGAATAGCGTGAGTCACTGTGGCTAAGTGGCCAATGAATATATTAAGCTCCAGATCCTCAGAAGTGAAGCAGTGGTTATGGTGCTCTGCTGCTGATGCGAGTTAGATCTTGGCTGTTGCGGCACTCGCTTTTCGATAGAAGCGAAATGGAAAAGATTTATGTACTGCTGAACGTGCATCATGTCACTGCACATTAAAAAACAAGAGGTGGTCAAAATTTTCTGAGCCCTCTACTACAGCATGCCTCATAATCATGTTATGGTTTGGCATGTAAAACCTCATATATTGTTATTACATTATGTTCCGCAGGAGGCTCGGTTGGGAATTCAATAATGTGTACTACTGCATATAATATAATGCCATATAATATTGTTGACATTTTGTGGGACGATGCGCGTGTGTGCCTGACGAAGAGGACGAAGGGTGGTCTCCGCTTGTCAAGTCAGCTTGTCGGAAGAACTTCTTTCCCCTTCACCAGGTTCATATAGAGTCCTTCGTAAAATCACTCCTGTGCCATACGAAATTGCCCTTGCTGCCCCATCAGCCTTCAACTGTCTTACAGACCACCGATATCGTACATGTGGCACGCTTGAAGCCTTACCACTCTCCCACTGACGTTGGCATCTAGATGCGCCTGATACGGCGCTTCTGCCTACCGGGGATTATGCTGCTATAATGTTGACTATTTCGTGGGACGATGCACGTGTGTTCTTGTTGAAGAGGACGAAGGGTGGTCTCCGCTCGTTTGCTGGTGAACTGGTCACGCCATTACTACTGGCTTTAAGTACATCTCATCCACAGCCTCGCCGATACGACGTGGTGTCTTATCCGTAACAATATTTACTACTATTCGTGCCGAATGAAACTCGAAACAGCGGCAAACCTTCGCGATGGTATAGTGCGCGCCGTCCACTTATCACCAAGGACAGGCGCGTGCATCCTGTTCGGCAGCTCTGCGCATATATGCATGCCTGTTCATTTGATGAGGATTATACATGGTTTGGTACAACCAAAGTGTTGCAGACAACACTTTGCACGGGAAAGGAAAAGAGTGATTTTTTCTCAGCCACTCCTCCTTTTTCAGCTTTTCTGAGAGTCCAACTTATGTCACAGACAAGGGTGTGCTCAAGTCAGGAGTTCCTAATCTACCTCATCAATATATAGGAAAGTCTCAAATTTTGGATGTTAGAAAATCTTTCACGTGGATGGCTTGGTAGATATAGTTGGTAATTTTTCAGGCTTCTGCACAAGTTTTAGGTCAAAATAGCATTAATTAGGCACCCACTTCTGTCACATCTGCCATCTTCATGCCAGAACCGGCGTTTTTCTTAAGTGATTACGTCTGTGGTCATAGCACAGCCTCAAAGGCAGCTTTGCTGCAGTATAAAATGGTGATGGGGTGAAGCATACTGAAAGTCTGAAGCGGTCACTGTCAATTAGATGCTGGACTGTATTTGTCTTTAAAACTTCAAATAACGAAAATGTAGTGCGAATTGAATTGAAATAGCAAACACTGTTGGAAAAATATTCGAAATTTGTATATTGGCCTACGTCAATGAAAAAATGACCGCAGTTTCTCGAGTGGGAACGAACACTGGTTAGCATGCGGAATATATATGTTGAACTGCGATAAATGTGGTTTGTAATTTGCGACATGCGTGTGTGTTATGAGTGAACACGAGTGAACACGCATGCACATATGCTGCAAAAGAAGATATTTATTGATGAGACGCTTTGGGTATTTTGAGCAAGATGGCTTATTGTCCGTAAAGTGATGGGTGAGTTGGTCTGGTTGCAGCAGTCGAAGGTCAAAATTTGCAAAGATGTGTTCGATGCAGATCCTGCAAACCGTGGTCGGATGATGTTTGCCGTCGTGCGTTGGTCGTTTCAGCGAGTGCCGCGACTCTATGTAGGCGACCACCCAATCGTCCTTGATGATGTCGACGTTGAAGTCGCCAACTATCATGAAGGGTCGTCGTTGTGGTCGTTGTTTCAGGTATTCTTCCACGGCTTCGTCGACGTACTTCTCCACGGCGGCACGCGATAGGTTGGGCGCGAGGTACATCGTCATGACGTCGACTCCGCAGACGCTAGCGACGCAGTGCTCGCCGTCGCCGCGTTGTTGAGCAACGGGCCACAGTTGGAGGTCTTCAACGGAGTTAACGTCGTCACGCTTGACATAAATTCCCACGCCGCTCAAAGGTCGTTAGAATTCATGCGTGCACGCGGCCGGAGCGTATCCCGCAATGTTTACGTCATCGGTGGTGTTCCACGTCTACATGTAATGTAGAGGTGGAATCTCTGCAGGAATCTCCGAGAATACCACGTGTAATCACGTACCACGTGAATCTCCGACATCAGATGTGGAGCAACCGCACAAACCAACTGACGAAGGGCGGTGCGCCCCGACATTCGGTTATTTATAGCGAGTGCGGCCCCGGCTAGCGCATGCGCGCGTTAGCATACAGCTGGCGCACGTAAAACTAAAGGTCGCGCGGCGCACGGAGGGGAGAAGCGAGCGCAGCGCACGCTGTGTTGAGAGGAGGAAGGGATGCACAGATGGCTTGCGGAGGAGGAAGGGAGGCTGCGGACGGCAACGGTGCATGACTAGCTCCTAGTATAACATACTCCGCATGTAAAAGTGAAATATTTGCTCTTTTAGTGTTGGATTGACAGTTGTGTGCTTAATGTTACATTTACTTATGTAGTGGGGTGGCACTGAATGTACTATATGCGTGCTATTTCACACACTACTTGTCCGAGTTGGGTCACTTGCCTTTTAGTGAGTCTCTTATGCCTTTCTATTAGATGCACTGGCAGATATGGCTTTGTATTGAGCATTAATGTAATCAGCTGTTTAAAGTGCACAGTCTGTATGCGGTTGGTATTCATCGGTCAAGATGGTGCAGGTAAACATTGGACCACAGAAAGTTGTAACATAGCATGTGCTAAATATGCGCATTATGCTAGAGGTTGCCCAGTAAGAAAATTCTCAGACTGAGGAGTGAGTGGCAGCACATACCTTTTGCCCTCCGCTGTGCTGCTACTGCTCCTCAGCCCTGCCAGGGTTATGAAAATTTTTTATTTTCTTGTGCATGCATCGCACGATGCTCGATGATTCAAGTTGGTAAGTCATTCCTAATTGCAGATTATGTGGTCAAACTTTCTTCAATCCTTTGCTCTCCAAAACATTTTCCCACCGTCCGTTCATTCTGATCCAAAGCTGAATGACTCACAGCTCAAGCAAAAGAGGCTACTTGCTCTTTTAAAGGTGAGGCATAATGTAGTGACAAAGCACGCATGTAAATCAACTGCGATAGATTTTGTCTAGTCGTGCTCGACCACTGGTCGCTGCAGCCATGTTTCATTGTCGGGTATTGCCCGGCACTGGATTGCAAAGAGTTAATGTAGCTTTCTAATAAATTGTTATCACTAATATTGCTTCGTATTTCGGATGAAGCTACAGTACTATATATTTTGAATTTTGCCATAATCTCTTTTTATTTTGACTGTTCATGGCTGTCATAATTGTTCAAAAAAACATTTGGTGCCTCAAGGTGGGTAACCGAAACAACTATAGAGCTGTTGGTGTAAGCACCCTACAAGCCTTAGTTATGGTATCACTACATGTGGATTACAAATCCTCTGATTCAAAAAATAAATTCAGGGGAAAATAAAGACCTGAAGTGATGACGAAATTGTACGAAATATGAATGTCACTGTAGCCAGCATTTTAACTAGAGGGCTTGCCTCTGTGAAGTTAGCAACTCCTGTCGAAATGTTGCTGTTGAAATGCTCATGTCGAGAGGTGGGCCTCCTGTGGCGTTCTTTGTCCAAGAGCTTTTAACTGCTGGAAGCTGACTGGTTCCGGTTTATGACGGTAAACTATCTCTTCCGCATTCTTTGTATCTCGACCTAATGGTAATAATGTCAATGAGTGTGTAGCTGGACTGATGTGCGAATTAAATTTGTGCCCTTGCTTGCCTTATAGCCCTCGCAACCAGGAAGGTGTTCGTTGCATCTGGGACCAAGGCAGCCAACTGCCTGTCCTCAAGGTGTGTGAGTACCTGCCAACTTTCTGTCACTTTCGTGTAGCAAAGGTTGACAATAATCTAAAAAGCTTCAACGAACAATATTTATGGCACCTGGCTTTGTTAAGGGCATTGGAAAGGTCACCATAAAATAACAGCATTCAGTCCTGCTACAGGCAGTCCGTAAATAATTACTTCCTTTACCATTTCATGCCTTGTGTACTGATGCAGGCTGTGCACAAGAGCAAAAAGTGTTGTCTCTGTTCACTAAAGGTTGTGTTTGTGTTCTGTGGTCCAGACAGGTGTCATGACTCTCTGCTTAGAAATGCACTCTCCACACTGTACTTTTACCTGCGACTGTATGTGTGGCATATTGTATTCCTCTTCGTGGTGCAGGAATGGAACCCGTGGTGTCGCGAGATTCCCTGGGTGACGTTCACAGTCTCACCACCTGCGAACCACCTCGATGGGCAGCTCCCACCACTGATGTGGGCCTCTTCTCGCGCGCCCTGGCCGAGGCAGTGACGCAGCTGGATGTCCCGCAGGCTCCTCCTGCGTCACTGGTGCGCTGCACCCCATGCCGCGTCCTGTATGAGCCCATCGTCGTGTGCAGCTACCTGGGCGTGGCCGCGGCCTTCCACAACACCACCCAGCTGGGCTTCTTCAAGGCGCGCGGAAAGGTCAGCTTCTAAGCTCGGCCCCTTTTATCTGCTCGGCCGTTCTCTGCTCTGCCTGCGTGGCCGGCGGAGCAGTGCCATCACATTCGACGGCATGAATGAAGGTGTGGATAATGGCTGCTGAGTGAGTGAATGGAACTTTGTGTGTCAAGCCATCACACCGCATGGGAATCTGAGCATCTGAGTTTGGCCTCCAGTTGAGGGCAGTTTGCCAAACAGCTGTGCAGTGAAAGTGAACTCTGATCACATTCAAGCTGTTGATGGTGAAACAAACTCCATGCTGAGGTTTTCAGAAGGCAAGGAACTCTACAGAAGACAAGGAACAGTTGGTACTACATTAGCAACAGTGTTCTTAAAGAACAAACAATGACAGGACAGCAGAACAGGGGCTGATCGACGCTTTGACCATCAGAGTTTCTTGATTCATTACTGCGAATTGAGAAGTTTACAAGAAGTTATCACTACTGGATATCAAACAACCCACAATAGGATTGTCAAGATTGTAGGAGCAGGTAGACAAAAATTTAGTAGTGATCTCCAGCGATTCTCTCTGACTTGGTGTCTTGACAATTCGAGGATTTCAAGTGCCCTTCGCAAAAGGAATGGGATCAACCAGTGGGGACCATCGGCAAGTGTTTTATGTGTGTGCTAGACTGTGAAAGGGATGATAGTCGTCTTGCAGTCTCTTTGAATTACCCGTCTACATGGGAAGATGTGGAGATTAGGCTTGTGCGAATAGTGAATTTTAGGTTCAAAGCGAAGTCGAAATGAATAGCGATTTCGGTCGAATAATTTCGAATTGGATTCGTATAGTAAATGCCACATGTTATAAAAGAAAATGGGCATACTTGTAACGACGTAACTTGCACACTATATAAATTTTTAAAACTGAAATGAGGCCTGTGCAAATGGCCTTTTTTTTGTTCAAAGAAAGGGTAAATAACTTTAAGTAGTAGCTGGATTTCACTTTTGGTAGAATGCAAGTGATAACCTGTAAAATGTGGATCTTTTTAATATTCACTATACTTGGAGCATATAAGCCGATATAACTAGCTCTTAAATGTAAGGGTGATATATTAATTTAATCTTGAATTAAGGACTTTGCAGCAGTGTGCATTTCCAATTAATAGGTGCTTTCATGGCTTGGCACTTTTTTATTGCAGTGAAACCATCTTTACAAGAAGTTACTTGCAGATTAATATACATTCAAATACATGCTTTCACGGTTCAGCACCCCCTCCCCCCCCCCACTTCAGTGAAACCACTTTTACTGAGGTTACACATGGAAGATACACCTGTTCGTTTACTTACCATAATACTTTTAAGTTTTTAATAAATTAAATTTAATTTGAAGCAAGTTTGAACACTGAGCTTTATTCGAATATTTCAAGCATTTAAATATTCACACAAGGCTAGTTTGAATACATTCATGTTGAAATCTAAACAGACTGAAGCATATAGATATGTGCAACTTGCTGGGGAATCTGTACGTATCAAGCGTGGTCTAATTGAGGCTAAAGTGGTAGCAATGATTCGATGATGGAAGTTTAGGTGAAAATTTTGTGTGATGGAAATGACTAAAACTGCTCTGCCCAAGTCGGCCCGAATGATTACCTTCAGGTTGTGTTTCTTTTTATTATTGAAAAAGCGGGAACTGCCGTGTACCGTGCACGTGTTATCATTTGCGAAGCCACTTCTCATTTCTCTGATTTCTGAGTTCTCTGATTGACGGTTGAGTGAACCTAATTCGGCTAATGCAAAGTAGCTTGTGTCGTTACAGGCAGGGTTGTGTGAATTGATGCTATGCCAGAGGACTGTGGTACTGTATTTTTGCGCGTATAACCCGCCCCTGCATAAAATCCGCACCGCCACTTTCAGCTCACTGAGAAAGAAAAAAAAATCCTCGCGTATTGCCCGCACATTTGATATACAGGAAAGGCTGTACAAAAGCTACTGCTCAAGCAAGATAGCACATATGTAGACAGAAAAAGCTTTATTTAGCAAGCAGAATACGCTGTCTGCAAGGCCAGTCACAATTCACTCACCGTCACTGCTCTCGCTAGAGCTATCACTTGAGCCGCAGTCCTCACTATTATGCAAAGGTCATCTTCGGTTCCATCCATGCTGTTTGTGATGCAGCATTTCTTGAAACGTTTTCGCACCATCTCACCTAGAATGGCCTTCCATGCCTCGACAATCCACTTGCAGAATAGGGCAATATCAGGCCTTCGGACTCGTCCTGTCGGCGTCAAGTGGTAGCAGCCTTCGGCCAGCCACTTCGGCGTAATAGCGCTTGACATGCGCTTTGAGAGGCTGTTACAGCGACACATTTAGAGGCGGCAACATCGACGTCATTCCACCGGGTATAACAACTAGGTCGGTGCTGTTGCGTGAAAGGCGGTCCTTCACTTCCTCAGTTGTGTGGCCGCGGAACGAGTCAAGAACGAGCATGGACCTCTTTGCGAGCATCGAACCGGGCCTCTTCTCCATACCGTCTTGATCCAGTCTACGAACAAGTCACTGTTCATCCACGCGTTCTCGTGTGCGCGCACCATCACACCGGCAGGCAAATGAACCTTTGGTAGAGTTTTCCTTTTCAAGATGACGTACGGTCGCAGTTGCGTGCCGTCGGCGAGGGCACAAAGCAAGACTGTGATGCGCAGTTTCGTGTTACCGCCGGTCAGCACGCTCATCGAACTGCTGCCCATCTTCTCAATCGTTGTGTCCAACGCACATTTCAAAATAAACAGGAATTTCATCCGCATTGCCGATTTGCGAGAATATGTAATTGTGCTGCTTTCACAGGCCAATTACATATCTCTGGTACTTGAGCAGCTTCTCCTTATTAGAAGGCAGCAAGCGTTGACATATTGTAGTCCGCCATCTGATTGAGAGCCCTTGCTGCTTCATAAAGTGGTGCAGCCATCCGCGGCTCGCACGGAACTCGTCAGGTAGGCCTAGCTCCCTCGAAAGTCGCCGCGCTTCCACTTGGGCTATCTCGGTCGATATGGCGTGACCCCTGCTTCTCACATCTTCGATGAACATTACTAGCTCCGCCTCCAGCTCAGGGTGGGCACCGGTCTTGGGGCCACGAAATGACCTACGGTCGCAGTGCAGCGGCTTGTAGGCTCTCTTTCTCCTTTCTCCACAGTCGCACGCAGGACTCGTCCACATCGTGCCGTCTTCCCGCTTCGCGATTTCCGAATTCCTCGGCGACGGCGATGATCTTAAGTTTTTACTGTGTCGTGAAGGCCTGCCACCGTACGCTACTCATGGTAACAGAACAGATCGACTTAGGCTTGGCGAACGGGTCGGGATGTGGAGAACTAGCAGTATCAGCGAGGTAAAGAGCGCTCACACTCGGCGACAACTTGACAGCACTACGCCTTCTAGTACACTGTAACAGCACCCTGGAAACAACAGAACCGAAATGCATGCCTGCTACCGCGTCAAAAAGTAGTACATTAATTTACTGATAATATTTCTATAGGCACTATAATATCTCACTTGCCTTGCTGAAATAAATACTGCTTTATTTATTATGGAACTTACTTAATTTATTGTGGAACTTTCTTAGACGGCACCACCTTTTTGGCAAGCCCTTTCCGAAAGTAAACATGGCGTCCGTGACGTAGGGACATGTGGAGGGTCACTGAGAGGACGCGAACGTCCAAAAAATATACTTGTGGTGTGACAGTGAGATATCACACTGAACAATTGAATTGTCTCTCCCCAAATGTTTTTCTAAACGCTTCAATGATGCAAGCAAGCAAAACCAAAATTGGCCGCAAGCTGCCGTGCTACTTGCGGAGCAACACGAATTTGCGGAGCAACACGAATTTGCGGAAACCGCCTCTATAGCTTTCGCTACACTGTTAAAGGGCTTCACAGCATAACACGCATTGCTGTGAAGCAGCACTATAGGAAAAACCCAGCGTATTATCCGCACCTCCAGTTTGCCACTGAAATTTTTGTGTTTTTGTTGCGGGTTATACGTGCGAAAATGCGGTAATTGAAAAAAACGTATTTCATTATTTGACATTTTCATTATGGCATTTTCATTATTTGCCATTTCACATTTCTTTTCAAATGGTTGTAGTCTAGATGGAAATAAAAAGTCAATAGAGTGATGTGTGGTACAATCAAGAATCACTCTAGCATCTTTTTATTGCTATCAATGTCAGATCACGATGGAAACAGGGTGCCGCATTGTTCGCGCTTATTTCAATCCTATTTGTACATTTCACAGGGCATTGCTCGTTCTGGAGAGGACAAAGGCATTCTTAATTGTCCCTTTCAAGTTTCCTATAGTATGCACACTACTAATTGCTGCTCTTTATTGTTTGCTATCAGTAATGTTCCATGTGCAGGCATCATTATACCTCAATTATTTCATATGAGAAGGCTTGGGAAAGAAAACCGACACAAAGAGATTATGGTATTTTTGTTGTGATAAGTAGCTAATGATTAAATTATCACGGCTGGCAACCTCGTTTGCTCCAGCATGCAATGGTCAGTTACACGAATCAGTGTTCATAGTGCCCAGTAGCAGGTTTGGCTTCAACAGCACCCAGAAAGGCATGTCCAGAACGGCTTAAAAATGAAGAAAGGTGGCCACATGATCGCACAAAGCAAACGTCCAGTGCGAGCGCATGGTCATCTGTTTAGCACTTTTTGCTATGTGTTTCAACGTTTCAATGTTCTCGCCATAATCATCGTATTTTCGTTCAGGGATGATGTAGACTAGGCTGTGAGTGCAGAGTTTCAGAGAGACTAAATGCAGGTGGCTGGCGTTAGTTTAGTATTACTTTCCAGCAAATTGATGGCGATATTGTCAAGAAATATATTTTACGTACGGTTGCGTAGTTCACTTTTGAAACTTGATGCTCTTCAGTATATTTATGATACATATTTTCTTGACAATGTGCGCGTCCAGGCAAATTGATCACGCAAGTTATGTGGGCTTCAAAATTTTTCATCAGTTCTCCCTTAGGTCACCTGACTTATCATGATAGTGGACAGGCACTTCTGCTATGTGTTGCAATGTTGAAAAAGTTTCATGCTCTGAGGCAGTGTAAAGAGCGTCTGCCACATTCTGCCGTGCAGTGGAGCAATGTTGCCGATGACCAATGTTTAATGAGAAGACTGCTGATAGCGTGGTTGGTGTCATTGCCCACTGTCTTGGGTATGTCATGTATGTATAGAAATAGTGTTTCTGTGGGCTTGGTGATTGCCCTCAAAATACATTCAGGATGATGGTGTAGTCACCATAACGTTGTTGGTGTGCTTTTCAGCCACTGTCAGCCTAATGTCGAGGCTAGCTGCATTTAAGTGTCAGTACACGAGAATAATCTCTCTGCGAGAAGCCATCAATGTTGTGGCAATCTACTATGTATAGTAGTACTCTAGTCAAAATTTAGTTTGTTTCATGTCTGGTAAAACGTTCTTGTGAGCATCTTTCAAAGCAATTTTTTCAAATGTATGTGCACAATGGAAGTCATGATACACTTATCTTTTTTTTTTTTTTTCAGCCTCATTGTGGAACCTAATATTTTAGAGACATGTTGTGGTTGAGCATGCTTGTGTTAAAATTTTCTTTTCCATTTATGGACAAATGTCTTTAGTGTTAGAAGCGTTTACTTGTTCACAGTTACCATAGCCTGCAAGATCTTGTCATTGTATTCATAGTGCGCTTACCTATTTGTAGTTGTCACTCATTATCTAGTCATCTTCCTAAAGCTGTTTGCCTGTGAAACTCGCGTCACAGAAAAAGTATGGCATTTTCACAGTTCACACTATGTTACTGGGCTCGTTTTGTCGTTGCCCTGCTTCCCATATTCAGATTAAGGAGGTTGAGAGATTCTATCCGAGCTAAGCGTGTACGACTTATGGGAGTGCATGGCTCATCAAGTGAAGATCAATTTGTCCCCTATGAATGTGTTCGTGTCACCTGTGCATTTGCTGTGATTATTGCCGGAAGGTCTGGATGGTGCATGCCTGCCTCAACTATGTCGATGAAAGAACCTTGCATTGCCTTCCAATGGGACTGTTGGTTTTGGTACTGCCGTCGTCTCGAGGCATGCGGCTTGCGTTTTGCTTATGCCGCCAGTATTGAAATGATGTATTGTCGATGCTTTCCTGTGTTTGAGGGTTTGATGTTTCCTATCTTGCAAACTGTAATCGTTCTTTAAATGTTCTTGATACAGTTTACTCTTGACATTCATGCTGTGGTAATGCTCGACCTTCCGCGCAGTATTATGATGCATTTTAGGTGGGTCAGAAATGAGCACTCTTATAAAATATGAGTGCCATATTTAGGCCACAGGCGGGAAGTCTCACTGTTCACTGCAGTAGAATCTTTTTAAATAGGACTTCTTGGAGAGCAAGAGTATACGTGACCGGAGTTCTGTTCACTAAGGAAGGTTTGTAAAGGTTCCTCGCATGCAATCTGCCATGCAGTGATAAAAATTGCTTTATGTGTTAAAGGGACACTAAAGACAACTATTAAGTTGACATTGATTGGTAAAATAGCGGTCCAGAATTCCTCGCAGTGTTACTTTTGTGCCAAGGAAAGGCCTATTTTGAAATAAAATCGTGTTTTATTGGTCCGCATCGAGTTGGCCCACTTCAAATTACCAGTCTCAAGAAGCGGACTGGCCGGACCTACTCATGTCACTGTTGCCGTGCACAACGTTGCCCGGCTTTACTGCGTTAGTTGTAGCAGACGAAAAGCAGCGGGAGCCACAGCAGCAATATTGGCCATTGATCGATTTCTCGTCATTAACTTCAAGATTGCAGACATTTTTTAGTTCAAGTACGCCCCACTAGATGGCATCACCGGTCCTGTGCCATCACGCGAAAATTGATTTTTTGAACCACTCG